TGACCCTTTTCTGCTCTCTCCTCTCGATCCTGTAGTTCATTATTCTGGGCTGACTCTAGAGGGGACTGTCCTCTGTCCTGCTCAGCTCTCCTATAATCTCTCATTATTACCATGTTCCTGTTGTTACAGCCCTGCCTCATCTAAGGCCTCTATAAGAATAAGCATATTTCTGGCCATTCTGTCTGTATTGGAGACTGGATCAATACTGTTTAGACTCACCAGTTCCTTTTTGATGGTTAAGCAGTATTTTGATTCTTGAGCTTTAACTTCTGTATACTTGTCCCTTCTGAGTCTTAGCCTGGGGTTCCACGGCTGAGAAAGATTAGGCCCAGAATGTTGTCTTTAGTGAAATTGTAGCCTGAAAAATTAAGGTATAAGTTATCTGCACATCCAGCAACTCAGTTCATCTTCCTGTTTTTCGATTTTTGTATTCATTTATTTTGTAGCAGTGTTCAGTGTACATCTTCATCTTTACAGTGTTGGTAATTAATTCATTTCTTTCTCTGCTCTTTCTCACAAGAGCTCCTGACTAGCTTATTGCCAAATCTATTTCACTTAATGGTCTTCCTGAATTCTTTGTGTTATCTGAGTAATTTTTCCTCTTGCTGCCTGGCATTGTCTAACCGCTGAAATGAGGTTGAAGTTCTAATCAGTGCTTTTCTCTAGCTTGGAGGGTGAAAGAGCTTGTACCCAGCCAGTCCCTCCGTCCTCTAATGGGACTCGTTTTGGGCTCTCTCGCTCCCACTCTCTGCTTCTTAAAACAAATTTTGTCTCTTCACTCTTTTCCAAGTTTTTCATGGGTTCAGATAGTTTCCCTCATCCCTGCATGCTAGTCTGAAGTCACCAAAACACATGCCCTTCAGAAATGATCCAGGCTTGTGGCCAGCTTAACTGAAGAGTCTTGAGCTGACAGGGAAGTTAGTTTGTTTATTTAGGCTCTGACTTTTATAGTGCCTATCAGGCAAATGGCTACCTGAATGTTCAGTGTTTAAAAATAAAATTTCAAATGGGCCCTAACTCTGCAAGAAGCATCCCAGACTCTGTAATCCCTTTTCTTGGTAACGTGTTTCTGTTCTCACGTTATCATTTCTGTGCCTCTTTGTTTCTTCCATTGTCCCCTTCCTTACACACACCTTTTACCTCCTTCAGTTTCAGTTATTCTGAGTAGGAGCTCCCGTTGTGGGGTTTGTTCAGTCTTCTTTTCAGAAGGCTGGCCCCTAACAGTTTTTAATGTGTGATCTCAGTAAACAAGAAGTGTGTGTGTGTGTGTGTGTGTGTGTGTGTAGGAAGCCTGCCATATTTCCTCCCTGCCCCACAGAAAATGTGTTTTCTGGAAGCCCTTTTGACACTGAAGTGAATACCCACTGGCCCTCCCTTGCTGAATTCTCCTGAGAGGGGAGAAAGAGGGAAAGAGAGGGAGGCCTTTATGCTTGTTGTCATATCTTTTGTTTCTGCTGATTATACACAAAGTAAGTTGTAAATAGCTCTCTCACACACCATGATTCCTTTGAGGTATGTCCTGGAGAGTAGATATGCACTCAGCTTCTGCTTACCCTGGGGATTCTAGAGGGTCCCTTTCAAGGCCTCCTACTTCCTGTTACAGCAGTAGCAGAATGAAATTTAGATGAGTACTGGACAATTACTATCCCATAATTAAACCTGTGGCATACTGTTCAGAAATATTAGCTGATCGGTCTAGTATTTTTGGCTTTTAACTTAAATGTTTTTATTACATTGAAAGCAAAATATACTAAGATGCAAAAAAGAACAAAAAATAAAAAGTCCCCTAGTCTTACTACTTTTCAGAGATAAAAAACCACTGTGAAACATTTTGTGAAAATCATTGTAGAGAACTTTGTTTTAAAGTATGGCGTTGAGGGATGCCTGGGTGGCTCAGTCGTTAAGCGTCTGCCTTCTGCTTGGGTCATGATCCCAGGGTCCTGGGATCCAGCCCCGCATCGGGCTCCTTGCTCGGCTGAAAGCCTGCTTATCCCTCTCCCACTCCCCTTGCTTGTGTTCCCTCTCTCACTGTGTCTTCTCTCTGTCAAATAAATAAATAAAATCTTAAAAAAAAAATAAAATAAAAAAATAAAGTATGGCGTTGAAAAAGGCACTAAACACTGGCATGAAGGAAAGCAGATGAAATTGGAATTCCCAAAATTAATTTAAATTTTATATTCCAGAGAAAACAGTAGTGAGGTACATACCATATTTTATTATCTTAATCTACACTGGAGTGATAATAAGGGGCTGGACAATTTATGTCTGCTGTATCCGTCAGTCATGTTTTTGATCATTTCTAGCTAGCTCTCTCACTACTGAGGCTTCTAAATCAAAAGGCCTAATGGTCTAGGTGTGCAGAATTATAACTAATTAGGTTATCAACTTTTATATCCTTTGTGTTTTCCTTGGTACATTTTGATGAATTAGGAAACAGAGCATGCTTTCCCCTTAAATATTTTTCTTTATCTGATACTGCCATGAAGTGGGGTGGGTGGGGTAGGAGAGGACATCATTAGACAGTGAACCCAACAGTACAACTGTCCAGTTTTAAGTCTCAATTTCCTCATCTTTAAAATACAGGAGTCCATTTACCTGGATCCTGATGGATTTTCTTCTGCTCTGAAACCCTAGGATTCTGTTTGAGAGTGCTAACTCACGTCCCTCGTGTAGTTCTTTTCGTAATTTGGATAGCTGAAACATTCTAGTAGCCTGGCGCTGTTTCCTTCCAACTTATTCACAGACCTTTTTGTTTTCTCTCAGAGACTGTATTTCTAAGCGGTTGAGGTTGTAATCAAGGGTAATTGTCGCTGTTTAACTTTCTCCTTTCCTCTCGAGAGTGTTTATAAAATGCGTCCTGTGGGGTGGGAGGTGATATAAAGGAACTAGCAACTTAGTATTGGTGACACAGTCTAACAGTGTTAAGGTAACTGGGAATTTGTTTTGTGTACATAAAGTATTCTTTACACTTGATTTGCAGTGTATATTCTGGCTCATGGAATGTGCTTTAATCAGTTAAGTAGTCACATTTATTGAGGTTTTATCGGAAGCTGTGGGGGGGGGTTGTTTTGATGTGAAATATTCGAAGATTTATTTTTCCCCAGTTCTGTTGCACCTTAGGGAGAACTACTGTTGCAGAACTCATTAGTGCCCCTCCATTTGTCACCTGAGGGGTGGTATCAGCATCAGTCTGTGTGTGCCCCAACGCACATAGACAGTGTTCCTGCTTGTCTCTGTGCCCCATTTCTTTCTCATTCCTCAAGCTAGAGGATAATTTCACATTGCTTATGTTGTCCTAGACCGCAGAGCAAGTAGTGGGTCCTGATAACACACTTTCTCCACTTCCTTTGTCTTTTTTGTAATTTCTTTCATATGAAACATCAACAAATGCCTCTAGATGAGAAGCCACAACTTTTGCATGTTTCTTGTTAACTTCTTTGAAGTATGTTCTCAGTCTTCTCATTTCTTAAGTTTGGGAATTACGACTTTCTAGTATGGGACCCTGAGCTCTAGTTATTTACCTACTCGGAGCCTCTGGGTTTTTTTTTTTTTTTTTCATTTGTCAAAGGGAGATGCTCATAACCCGTAAGATGGTTGCAAGGGAAAAACCAGGTTAATCCATGTGTGTAAGGTGCCCACATGGTGACTAGCATATCACAAGTGCTCAGTAAACGTGACCTCTCTTGCTTCCCCTCTTGGGCCCCACTGTGAAATTTGTGGGTGAAGAGTGGTTAAGTTCAAAGACAGGTGATAATCTGTCCATGTCACCTTATGGACATGAGCAAGAAGAAAGAATGCGAGACTTAAAAAGAATAGGAGAGTTGGTCCCAAAAATGTCTGAAGAATTGACTGAGTGCTTTTTTACAACATTAGTAATATTCACTGGTAAACTTGCTAAGTGGACTTTATTGAAAACTGTTTAAATTTAGAGAAGTGAACTGATTTATTTGTGGGTCGAAAGAAAGAGGGAAATATCCTCTAAGGCGGTACACTTGGCTGAAAACTGATCTCTGAACAGAGAATTGACTGACACAGATGATCCTAAGTGGAGCTAAAGCACAGAACAAAACAGCAAAGGTGGGCCTTGATAGGGAAAGAAGACAGGTGGAATGAAGCTGATTGATGGATTGAGATTATGATAAAGATAGTTGTATGATTAACAAAGATAGTGTGTGTTTGGAAATACTGAATAGTGATTCAGAGAACTTTTTTAAAAAGCGGAAACAGGTTTAGATGGAATCTAAGTCCTTTTGTCTTTATCTCAAAAAAAAAAAAATCTAAAATGAAGTAAGCAAGTAACAGTAGGCAATATTTTGAGATGAGATCGCCTAATTAAGATAGTTTTGAAAGGGAATCTTTAGTGGCTTTCAGTATAGAATTTTAAATATAGAGAAATATTCTAAATTATTGCTATTTTGTTATCATTTTTATTATTGGAACAGACATAAAATAAGCCTGTTAAAATTTAGAGATCATGAATAAATAAAAAAATATTGATAAAGTCTGTCTATGCTAACCTTTACCATGAATAGGAAAAATAAATTTGAACAGGAATTTTAACAGTGGAAAGGAACTTTAGGCATTAGAGAATACGGTGTTCTTCTTCATTCTCACATAAGAAAATTAAAAGAGGGGAAGAAATGTCACGTGTCAAGTAGAGATTCTCTGTTTCTTTCCCCCTGTACTTTAATCTTCTCTCCTCCTTCCATCCAGAGATATTTAGTACATGCCTACTTTGTGCTACATGCTGTGAATACAAGGGGGAATAAAAATTTTGTGGATCTTTTCTTCTTAGAATTTGCCTTCTGATAGTTAATAAACTTGGTTACATGATAGTCATAATATATTTGACCTACTAAGTGTCAAAAACCAATGGAGCCACGATGGCCTGTTTCATACTTGCAGTTGGAATGTCCCTGCTTCTGTCTGGGTCAAATGTATTTGTGTGTAGTTCTCAGCAACCTCCACACCCAGCATCTAACTTGGCCATATTCCCCCAGGTTCCAGTGGCATGTGCTGGCAGAGTGCTGGGTGCAGACTTTTGCCCAAACCTGGAGGAGCCAGACCAGAGGCTGGAAGTCCAGGTTGGAGTCTTACTGCTTTATTAGTTGGGGGTGGTGTGACAGAAAGAGTGGTCCCTGGAGGCCATACAGATATATCAGTGTCATCAGGAGATGGACAACTGTTGAGACAGGTGTAAAGGAAGAACCGAGGTAGCCTGTGTGCTACAAAGAGTCCTTTTCAGGCTAAACTGTCTGTAACTGGAGATAATTCATTTATTCATCCATTTAAGAAACGGTACATATGGCAGTGGACAAGAACATGGTTTCTAAAGGCTGGCTGCCTAGGTTGACAAAAGTTACTGTGAGACTTTTGGCAAAGTCACTCAGACACACTGAGCTTTAGCTTTCCCATCTATAAAATGGAGACTTACCACCCAAGGTGATTATGAGGAGTAAATGTTCTAACATATACCTAGCCATTAGTATAGGACCTGGTGCATAACGGGCACTCAGTTAAGACTAGCTCTTGTCTTTTCAAAGCATTGTTATCACGTGCTTGGTACTGTGGTAGGCACTGGAGATACGTGGTGTGCAAGTCGGGCTTCCTGCATGATGGTTTCTCAGCTCAGGAGAACAGAAGCCATTAGGCACCGTAGTAGAAAAGTATGATTGAATGATAAGTATCTTCCCTTTTCATGTATGGGGAGATATGTCCTGTGATAGAGTATTAAGTTCATTAGCCAAGTGAAAGTACTTAGAATTCAGTTCATGTTATGTGGTCTTGGGACATCAGAAGTAGTTCGGTGTATCACAGATGAAAAATATAAAAATGACACCTTGGTCAAAGACCTACCTCTACTTTATGTGCCATTTAATATTTAAGGAATGTGTGTGTTACTAATGCAGAGATGCTGGCTTAAGTTGTAACGTGGGTGGCATCCCCTAGCAGGAGCAAACACATACTGTTTTTTTTTTTTTTTTTAGGACCTGCATTTGGCATCATTTTCTAAATTTTCAGACTTACAGGGTGAGCATGGTGAGCTTGGTTTTAACCAACTGAGCCACCCAGGTGCCCGTGAGCTTGGTTTTAAAGCATTTTTACTGATTTAGACGCTCCGCATTAGAATAGTTTTAAAGATTGACTTCTTCACAGTTGCAGAGAAGGTGGAAGTGGTGGTAGGAGGAGGTTTCAGTTTTTATGGTACTGAAGAGCATACCATCTCTTGCACACCTGCTCTTGGCCTCGGGAAGACCACCTGAGCTCTGCTGTGCCACAAGCTGGTACTGTTTGGGTGGTGTATGGCTATGCTACAACAGAAAAGCAGGTGTGACGCATATGAGACGTGATCATGTATTTCCCAGTTTTGGAAAGCGAACAGCTTTTGTGTGACACGCAAATGCAGAGTGATGGAAGACTTTTCATGGAGAGTGGTCTGATCCTTGACCTCTGGGTAGGATGAGTGATGTTCTTCAAACACATCACCTGGAATGGTCTGTCATGGGTGGTGGTTGGAGAATCTGTTTGTGAACTTTGAATTATGAAGCAAAGAGCAATGGGTTTTGCAGATGTGACTGTGTGAAATAAAACTGAAAGAGACCAACGGAGCATATTATTTTAACATACCAAGAGAGAAGATGTATATTTACTAGTTTAAGTGAAACCCTGGTTGTAGGTAGTTAAACATTTGTAGAGTTGACAATTCATCACGGTCCTTGCAAAGAAGACCAAGCCCCCGGGCAAAGAAATGAGTCTCATTTTATTGGACTCCTCCTCTTGCAACACCATTTTGGCAGACCGAGTGGAAAGGTTGAATCTGTTCAAAGAGTCAAGTGTGGTGAATTGGTGCATTAACTGGGACCCATTTGAACATTTCCTTCTCTTTTTCCTCTTCCTTTCTAAATATGGCTTCCATACATTTTAATGATATCTGGTACATATCCACATTATGTCAGTCATAAAAAAACCTGACACTTAATATGTTCTTCACCAGCTAACAATTTCACGAGTAGTTTTTAGCTTAGAGTCCTTTCATTCTTGCTATGGCATGTATCTGGTCTTTTTTTTCCCCTAAGAAATGAGGAATTTCTTAGTTTGTAGTCTAATTCTGCACTCCAGGGAATTCACCCTAGGACGTGCCAGAGGCATCTATTTTCCCTGTTTGGATCTCAGGCTGTCTCCAGGGCCAGGCATCATAACCACTAGAGGATTTGCTGTTTTGGCTTCTTGATTCTGAGAATAACCTCTTGTACACCTTGATTTAGGAGCAGTAGTTTGTTTATATCCTTTTCTATGAAGGATTTTCATTTAGACACACAGCGCCCATATCTGATTTACTTTTCTATTTTGGCTGACATAATTTCTCATAACTGGTGGAGTCCCTTTCTGTTCTTACCTCTTTCCTTTTCACTCTTTTTTCCTATCCCTAAAATTTCAGATGGCTTAGCACCTTTATTGCTTAATAATCCCAAGATCCCTCACACACTTTCATGAACATATCTTTGGTTTTGAATGACTGTTATCCTGAAGTCTGTGTCTTACTTGACTTTTGCAAGGGTGTCTGCTGGCTTTTCATGTTAATATGCTTGATTTAGAAAAGTAGCTGGAAATCAAGACTTTGATTCACTAATTTTATTGATTTTCCTCAGTGGTTTTTGAAGTGGGTATGAAACTGTACTTTCTTTTGCCTTGGGAGGTTAACTGATGTATATTAGCAAAATATTGTGCTCTTATATAATTATTTTCTAGGAAGTGGTTATTGTAGTTTAGACTTCCCTTAATTGCTGTTAAATATTATATTTTCAGTCAGAGAAAAGTTACTTTTTAAGTCTAACTCTGCCTTATCCTGTATTAAGTTGTTACATCTGACCCAATACAATTCCTTTCTTGATCAGGAATTCAAGATGTGGGGTTAACTTGATATTTTTCACCACTAAAGTGCTTAGAAAATTAGAGTAAATAATGAACCAATATTTCAGTACCAGATTAGACACAATTTACTGTGATGTTTCATAAACCACAGACTCCTTTCTTCTGTGAATGCGTGAAGGATCACTTTTTTTTTCCCAGACATACCGGGGTGCAAGTGTAAATTTCCATAAAATTTAAATGAGGTGCTTCCTGTAATTAATGAACAATTGTGGCTGCTCTCTAGTCTGCATTGTAATTAACCGTGATCAGGCTTGTTTAGTGATGACACTGTTCCTGTAATAATTTGACAAGCTACTGTGAATTTGCCAGGTTATTAAACAACCTGCAGCATTCACTTATGGAATCACAGGGATGAGCTTGGCGGTTGCTGCTAGTTAAATGCAGCATAAGGGTGAACTGAAAGCTGCTTATTGAAGTCTATCGATCACCATGACCAGATTTAAATTCCTATGATTTTGGAGAAGTTAATTAATTTTGTGTGGGTTGTCTCGAAAACTTTTTATTGCATAATAAACCTGCTAGGGCAAAGCTGGTCATTTTTATGAACTCATAATGAAGCCAGCAAATTTTCTATATTATTATCACCAGTATGAACCAAAAAGAATTTGAGGTGTCCCCTTTCCACCCTATTAAACAGGTATGATTATTTAAAAAACAACAACAAACTGTTTCCTCTCCAAATTCATTCACAACATTTAACATTCCTCTAATACAAGTTCACTGTATTTGTGTGTGTGTGTGTGTGTGTGTGTCAGAGAGAGAGAGAGAAACAACAGATGACCTTGTGCTGAACACAGTCATGTTGCAGGTAGAGCGAGCCATCTAAGTGGACTGGTAGCCTTATGTCCATGGTGACTAGTGCACCCGCCTTCCCCAACCCCCCTTCAGGTTAAGAACTGTTCAAAACCTTACTGTCTAGTTACTGTGGTGTCTTTCATTCAGATTCTGTTTATTGACTAAACCACAAGGATTCCTGCCCAAAGTACCAGGCGGTCTATGCTTGACTGATTTTGATTTTCTAACATCAGCCCTGGGGTTTATTTGAAAAATGTACATACACTGCAGCTTTAACAAGTCAAGTGACTGCATGTTTTTGACCACGGAGTAGAGTATATCTGAAGATCATTAAATTTGGGTGGGGGGGAGGAGGGGTGGAGAATAAGTGTAGTAGTCATTGTACCATTGCAGAATGTGTGTGTGTGTGTGTGTGTGAGTGTGACACATGGTTTTTGTCTTTTCATCTTCTCCAAGAGCCAGAAAGTTTCCTGCCGTTCTCTTTCCAGCTATTGACAAATGATTGCCAGATGTGAGATCTTTGCAGTGCTCTTTCCCTCAGCAAACCTGCAGCGATGGGATATTTGATTCTCCCTTGCCCATTTCATCTCCTTTCCACATCTGCCAGGGACACACAAGCAATACATCCCTACATGAGAGTTTAAAGTTTATCCAGCCCCTTTTTCCCCTCGATACAGTGTTTGGAGACAACAGAATGAGGTCCATATGACTCTCTCCCAACTTCACTGTATGAAATTAGTTGTTTATTTTACTTATCTACCTCTTAGTAATTGAACTATTTCATTTTAGTTTCGGTCCATGGAAAATTTGATGCAACTCTGGGAGTGCTAAGAGTTTCCTATTGTTGTCTGCTTGCTGCAAGTATGCCATCATCTCAACTTCTCTCCGATCGCTTCAGTTCTGATACAAACTAGACTGTTGGTTTCATAGAACTTCCTAGGAAAGCAATTTTAATAAACAACTGTCAAAATATAAGTGTAGCGTGTCTTTAAATTTCAGTAGGCATTTAAGATTAAAAGAGTCTCCTGTGAGGGGGAATATTCAGCTTGTTTGGCTTGATTAGCTTACCCTGTATTTGTGTCCATTGTCAAAGTTGATATGGATGAGCTCCTAGTTTTAATCCCAAATAGTTTATAAAAGAGAGAGTACACTGAGTTTTGGAGGCATCTGAAATTAGTCTGTATAGGCCACACACATAATCACTAACATGCACAGAAGCCTTTTGCATCTGCTTGGAATCTGTATTGATACTGATTTTTTTTTTCTCATCTCAGTTTGAAGATATTTTCCAAAATGCTCTTATAGCTTATGTTCATACTATAGGGTGGGCTGACACAGGTGGCCTTTCAGTTTTCCT